GGGTTGACCTTAATGCACTTTTTGATGCTGATGATAAAGAATGGAAAATATTTTCTTATGAGTTAGATCAAAAGTAATCTAAAAGTAATCCAAAAGTACTCAGAACACATTACTTATGTGTAATCCAACAGATTATGTTACTAACTACAATTTCCGTTATGTAATTTGTAATGGACTACAATTTGTAATAATTGTAAACTTACTATATTTTTAAACAGTATTTATATATTCAATAACCATTACAAGCTAACGTTCCCATAATATTAAATTGTTACAAATGACTTCATTATACTATGTTTGTTATGTAACTTTAACACAATCACATTGACAGATTAAGACTTACATTAAGAAACTAGGATTTTAACATTTGCACAACCAAACCAAAACATTTTAATGCTTAAAAACTTCAGAACCTAAATTGTAGGCGCCGAAACGCTTATGTTGTGAATCGCCTATTGTTGTTTTGTTCCTCATTTGTATGCCACTTTAAATAGAAAGTTCTGCTAAATGCCTGGATGTAAATATGAATGTAAATGCCTCATCAGGTAGTGTATTACTTGCTTGCGAGAGCTGTGCTGGATCTATCTGGTGCTCTTTGGTCGTCGCTAATGTCAGGCTTGAATAAAGAAATAGAACTACTGAACTGCTGTAAATCTGGTGCCCAGACGCTCATTGGATCAGCTCCAGATGTGGAGTCTGCTTTATGCTGGTTTGGGGGGTTTAATCTGTGGATAGAGACAGAATCTGGATTATAATCCACCATTATAACACTGGAATCAGCAATTGATACTGGCGGACGGACTGGTTTTGACCGGAGAATTGTGCTGGTTTAAACCGGGCAGGCAGTCTTGGTCCTGGTTTTGATTTTAGAACTGGTTTGGGCACAGTGGAGATGGGGGCCTCTTCATCATTCAAAGAACCATGGACTAAAATATTGTCGACTCAGAGGGTAAATGAATATGCTAATGCTTTTGTGTTGCATTACTGCACCAAAAAACGTATTATATAGAGTTTTAATAGTATTAACTTTTCATTTATAACACTATACTTTTACTTTTTATGGTTATTTTTCTAGGATGAGCCGCTTTTGTTGTAGTGTTCCTCATTTTTGAGTCACTTTGGATGCGAGTGTCTGCTAAATATATAACTGCACATGTAAATTGGATTATACCAACCCTAACCTTTATTTTAATGTTAAACCAACTGAGCCAAAAGTACATTCAGACTATTCTTATTAGTCCCTTTGTAAAGAAATGTTCCATATAGGACGTCCCTTCAAAGGTGACGTCAAGTTTTGATGTTTTTAATACTTTGTCGCCTCGAGAATAGCAAAATCTGTCCTTGTGAACAGCGACACAAAGCGTCTTTACTTCTGGTAGCGGTTTCAAACACGGGGACTTTGGCTTTCATAGAGCTAGTCTAGATTCCTCTTGCACTTGTTGCGCCTCATAAACATGTTTGCATTGCTGAAAATGTCAGACAGCCAAGCATCCGTTTGTCACATAATACACCATCTCACTGATAACAACCTCAAGATTGTATGCGAACATACAGCAGATTTTAAAATTGCCCTCTTTAAAACTTCAGCTGCTGGGTGTCTGCTGCTCTTCTAGTGTTTCTTGTGTGGACTAGAGACTGTGTTGTGTAAGAGGAGGCAATCTGTGTTTAAATGAGGCCGGCTAATCGTATTAGGTCATTTGAATTACCCAGATGCTGACAGGGGACTTTGGCACCGTATTCTTCCATTGGTAGTTTTACTAGCCTCACCAGAAATTAAAATTCAGTCATTGTTTACTCACCCTTGTGTCGTTCCAACTTAAATGCTGTTATTTTTTCCATGGAACACAAAAGTAGGAATTTTAAAAGATTTCCATGCGGTTCTTTACATATATTGATCATTTATAGGGACTGCAAAACAGAAAAACACAAATAAAGATATCATAAACGTAGTCCATATGTTTTGTGTTAATAATGTTTTGCATTAAATTGTTTACAAAATTTCAGTCTATTCCTCGCACATGTTACTTCAGAAGACATAGCATGCACGTTGTTTGGACTTTTTTACTGCATAGCTTTTGGTTTGTTCAGATTAAAACAATTCATATTGTTTTGGAACGACATGATGGTGAGTAACTAATGACCAAATTTTCATTTTCGTTGAACTGTACCTTTAAATAATAGACTGAAAGTTATAATGTGGAGTGCAGAAACCTAGACCATCACCCACATGTACATCCTGTGTCTGTGTGTGCACAAACACACAAGGTTTGAACGTTCATCCTGTCTGCTGGCTGAATGCATGCGGACAGTTTGCACGAACAGGAATTGAAGAGTAGCGTCTTCTTTCATAAGGACAATGTGAAATGGTCTTGTGCGTCTAACGCTCGTACAGATGGAGGGAGGGATTATCTGACTGAATTCTTCAGACTTCGAGATGGTTGAAGAGAAAATGGGGGGATGCTGGAGTCAAACGAAGGTGATCGAAGCGATACTACAGTACGATACCATTTACGTGTTGAACTTAGGGTAGATTCTGTCTAATGTGTCAAGTAAAGTTAATGATCTGATTGTATTGTGCACTGTAAAGATTTCAGCAAAGAAATGAAATTTCAGTCGTCGTTTACTCAACCTGATGTCATTCCAAATGCTGTTATTTTTTTTGACACAAAAGTAGGATGCAGTTCTTTTCATATAATGATCATTTATAGTGACCAAAAAAAGGAAATAAAGAAATCATTAAAGTAGTCCATACAATTTGTTTGGGGAGTGTTTAATAATAACACTTTTTTTTTTTTTGCATAAAAATGGTAAAAGTTTTTTACAAAATTTCATTCTGTTCCTCACTCATATTCATATCATATTACTTCAGAAGACATGGAACACAGTATGCAAATGCAAGTACTGTTATCAGGGGACATTTTAGGATTTTAGAGTTGCTGTATGGTTTTTAGAAATCTAAAAAGTTCTTCATTTCATTATAGGTTCGTAAGTGTTTTGATTTTTGGGTTTCGATCTTTGTAGAACTTAAAGGGATGAGTTTCTTTCTTCTGGAAAGAAAAAAATACTATGCAAGTCTGTGGAGACCAACAACTGTTTGGTTATCTAAATTCTTCAGAAAGTCTAATTGTGTTCAACAGAAGAAAGACATTCATACAACTTACAACAGGTTCTTTTATGACAGTTGATTTAAAATAAGTTTTGGCTCTATCTGGAACATTTATTATCCACAGTCATGTGATTTGAGTAATTTAGAGGGACATTAGCAAGAACTTACTGTTGTGTTTCATTATGTATAGCGTTTTTGGGGTTGTTTTTGTACAATTCAATTACATATGCTTCATAAGTTGTTGGTGCAGTATATAGGATTTCTTGCTTGTCAGATACCGATATTGGATCAGTTAAATGAACAAGTCTAAGTATTTTCTGTCATATTTTACCCAGCATGCAGCAGGCTCTTAAACTGAGCCCGTCACGTCTCAAATGTGTGATCGGTGTTAGCTGAGGTGTGACAATTGAGTGCATCTGCTAATAGGACTCATGTCTGTGGTGTGTTTGTGTGTTGTAAAGCCCTTTTTTCTGGAAATCATCTGGAAATGGAAAATTAAAACCCTACACACACCTCATCAAACCTGTATGCAATCATCAATAGATGACCACAACACAAGATATTAATAAAACTTTCAGGGCCAGTAACTCTAGCACTGCAAACTTAATGTGGGCACATGCATTTCTGAATGTGTTTTAAGTGGTTGGATCACAATTATTATTATTTTTTTTAGTATTTAAGTATCCTGGAAACATAAAATCACCTGTATTCACTTCCAGATTTAAGTTTTTAATAAAACTTGGACTGTTCACTTTATAGATCTGGTTCCTTGTGTTTTTCTGATAGGAAACCTTCAGAAACATCTTGAACTTGATGCAGTAGAGATCAAAGCTTTAATTTGTGAATTATGTATTTAATGATTTGTACAATGATTTGTGAGCCGATCTGTTTAGATTTTGACTTCAAAACCTGGCAAATTAAAAATTGGATATAAAACTGATACATGTAAACAGTTTTTTTTCAACCTCATACTGTATAGTTTGCACTTATTACTTTAGTAACATCATTCTAGCACATTAAGTGAAAATACAAAAATTCATGCATTCGTTAAAGGGGTCATATGATGCTGCTAAAAAGAACATTATTTTGTGTATTTGGTGTAATGAAATGTGTTTATGCGGTTTAAGGTTCAAAAAACACATTATTTTCCACATACTGTACATTATTGTTTCTCCTCTATGCCCCGCCTTTCTGAAACGCGTTGATTTTTACAAAGCTCATCGTTCTGAGAAGCGAGGTGTGCTCTGATTGGCCAACTATCCAGTGCGTTGTGATTGGCCGAATACCTAAGCGTGTGACGGAAAAGTTAAGCCCCTCACCATATTGTGATGATGCCCTGTCAGGCAAATTCTTTAAATATAAAAAAAACGTACTTACAGGATGTGAGTCAGAACAGCCGGCATTGTAGGCTACTCTACCAGGATCAGGAAACAGTCCTCCATAAAATGCACTGCACACATCTGAATATTTGGGTTAAACTGTTCTGGAACAGTGTTGTAAATACAACTTAACCACTGATTTCTAGTCGTGTCCTCTTTTGGAAGACCAAACAAAGTAGTTTCGCTTTCACAACGAAAAAGCGTCACACACCTTGAGTGAGTGGAGGCCGGCAGCCTTGAGAACGGAGCAGCCGGCGGATTTGGAAAAATTTAAATTGCATCATATGACCCCTTTAAAAAGGTCACTATTTTTGACAGTACTTGCTTTCATGTCAGTATCAGGGTGTGCTTTTCCTGTCCACTTCCTGCTGACCTAGTAGAATGACACGTAGAACCTTTCCTTGGTGTGGTAAATATTTTTATTTCAACAGCTAATTTAGGATGTCGAAACATCAGTCTGCACTGTTATTGTGCCAGCTTTAACATATCTCTCTCTCTCTCTCTTTCTCTCTCAGGATCAGTTTGATAACCTGGAAAAGCACACACAGTGGGGAATCGACTTTGTGGAAAAATACACCAAATTTGTGAAGGAAAGGTCTGAGATCGAGCTTAACTATGCAAGACAGATCAGGTGAGTGTTGCATCAACCTCTGTGATTAATACATGTGCACTAAATATTTTGGTTTGCATAAATGTTATACATGAAGACTTCTAAATGATGTATACAGGCTTTTATCATGGAATGGGTCATTTTCAGTTGCAGAATAACTAATAAAAAACATTACATCCTTAAAGGGATAGTTCACTCAAAAATGAAAATTCTGTCATTAATTACTCACCCTCATGTCGTTTTAAACCCGTAAGACCTTCGTTCATCTTCGGAACACAAATTAAGATATTTTTGATGGAATCTGAGAGCTGTCTGACCCTGCATTGACAGCAACGCAACTGAAATGTTCCCAAGTCCAGAAACGTAGCAAGGAGATCTGTAAAATAATCCATGTGACATCCGCAATTATACGAAGTTACAAGTATAGTTTTTGTGCGCAAAAGAAAAAAAATAACGACTTTATTCAACAATTCGTCTCCTCCGCGTCACCCTGGTGCCATTTTGGAGAATATCCACTGGATGTAAACAGCGTATGCTGTTCTGTGTCAGCTGCGTCACACGGATCTGTTTCCTACGTTGTTGTGATTTGATCTGAACGGAAACAGCGTATCCGTGTGACGCAGCTGACACAAAAACTTTTGCGCACAAAAAGTATTCTCGTAGCTTCGTATAATTGCGGTTGAACCCCTGATGTCACATGGATTATTTTACAGATCTCCTTGCTACGTTTATGGATTTGGGAACATTTCAGTTGCATTGCTGTCTATGCAGGGTCAGACAGCTTTCAGATTCCATCAAAAATATCTTAATTTGTGTTCCGAAGATGAACGAAGGTCTTACGGGTTTGAAACAACATGAGGGTAATTAATGACAGAATTTTCATTTTTGGGTGAACTAACCCTTTAAATATGCTTATTATACTGATTAAACTGCAGAATTAGGAAGAGTATTATGCTAGCATGACTGTTGCGAACATAAGCGATCATAAGAGGTCAATATGTCTGTGAAAGTGATATTTCTATCATGCAGCTGTAACCAAAACATATACAAAAAAATGCATGGCGTACATCTAAAAAAACACAAATTTGACAACATATATTTATGCTTAAAGACTGTAAAAATTACTTTTAAAATGACTTTTCTACAAACTTAAAAAAAACAATGATCAACAATAGAAAATACTATTTCAGTCTTTTTCTACTTCAAAATTTCAGTGTGTTTCTTGACATTTTATTGCAATTATGTGAAAATGGTTCCAAAATAAATGCTACACCATTCAGTTTTCAGTGTGTATGTATTTATTTAGCTTTCTAGTGAATACATATATATACAGTGGGTACGGAAAGTATTCAGGCCCCCTTAAATTTTGCTGGTTTAATCTGGACTCTCAGTTTTGCCAAGCTGGTGAAAACCTCTTTAAAACCAGTCAAAAGATAAGTGTGATCAAGCTTGGAGACCTTTTTAAGCTGTTTTTCAACACCGGTTTGTGGCTTGATAGGTCAGCGGTCATGTCTTATCTCACCTATGCCACAGGATCACCATCAGATCTCAGGGTTGTAGACGGTGGGTGGAGTCCACGTATTTGTGGATTGTCAGCACATCTTGACGCAAGAAATGTTTCACAATTCGCAAATGCACAGGATGCGATTCACAAATGCGAGCAGCTATCTACAAATGCACAGGACGCGATTCACAAATAAATGCCAGGCACAGTTGTGGTTGTGACATAAATATATATTTGTGAATATGTTTTTTTATTTGCAAATCTCATTTTATTTATTTGTGAATTTAATTCATGTTTGTGAAACTTTAAGATTTATTTGTGGATCTCATTCTATTTATTTGTGGATCATAATCTATTTATTTGGAATTAAGCAACAATTCTACCCCCATATTCTTCCACCCAAATCCCCACTTTAACCCCGGAATTGCATCTGTCATATCTGTGTAACAGGTGCAGCTGCTTGTACTTTATAGTGTAAACACACACACACATACACACACACACACAGTAATTACATGTGTGATGTTGCTGCTGACAGCTCAAGGATACAGGAAGAAAGGGCAACATTTGTGTTTTCTGTGTGTGTAAGTTTGGGAAGAAAATGCAGGTTTCCGTGGTAACAAGGTGCCAGCATGGTGTTCCTCGTTGGTGACCTACATTTGCACCGGCCAATCATGCGCCACGACCCCGCCCCCCATTCCAGTGATAGGATTAACAACTCACACACACACACACACACACACACACACAAACACATACACACACGCTGACTGTATATCAACCCCCTCCAGATAGCAGTGGGAAACCCCTTTAATTCCCAGTCGCAGCGGGGGGTTCAGCCGTCTAAAACACACACACACACACACACACAAACTCATACCAGCATGTTACTGGATGTGATGAACTGCATTTATAACCTCAGATTCACTGTGATAAAACGGCATTCTCTGGTCAGATGATATGAACAAATGAACATGTTTTCATCCTTTACAAAAAAGTACTGGCAGTACCATGATTCTTTAATATATGCACCTTTAAATACCATATTTACCATGTTAAATGCTGCTGTAATGACATTTCAATTATAGTTGTGTTAAACAAAACATTGCATTTCCTTGTTTTTTCCATGGCATATATTTATGCTAATACCATGGCACTTCTTGTAAGGGATACAGCTTCAGTTGCATCTATATACATACACTAGCACATGCACAGCACACTTACAATTTTTGATAAACACGCATGCATATGTATACATACACAGATAAGATCTCAGATACTGTGATCCAGATAGGGACTTGCATGCATGAAGAGCGAATTAGACAAGATTATAGTCAATATTGTATGTGTGTGTGTGTGTGTGTGTGTGTGTGTGTAAGACAGGAACAGAGTAAATTTTATTTATCTTCAGGGAGGAAAATTGCAGTGTTGCAGTAACAGAAACAGTCATATAATGCTGTGCAGGAGAAAACATATCCAGATGTGATTAGATAGATAGATAGATAGATAGATGTTAATTTTATTTTAATTAATAGATTGATTTATTCACAAATTCATTGATTAGTTCATAGATTAATTAATTTTTTTAAGAATTATGGTTAATATTACTTCCGTGTTATTTATCACACTGGAAAAGAAAGGTCAAGTCAAGGTACTGTGACAATTGTGTGGTACATCACATGTGTGTGTTATATGTGTACTGGGAACACTGTGCAATATTAATATTAATATGTTAGTGTGCTGTTCTGAAGTGTGCGTGAGTGTGTGTTTTTTAAAATGTGTTTTTTACCCTTTGGAAAGGTGCAATCTGAACACACACACACACACACACCTGCCCTGAGGCAGTGATGATGAGCAGACGCTCTGTATTTACAGCTGATGTTAATAGAACACACAGAGAAACATCTGACAGTGACGAGAAAGGCTACAAAGAAAGAAAGACGGGCCTTTGTGTCACAGTTTACACACACACACACACACACACACACAGACACACACACTGACATTGAGCCTCACATTCATTTTAAACACATGTAGGAAGACAAAGACAAAAAAGTCCAAGAGTTCTGTGAAGTATTTGAATTTGAGTATTTGAATTTCAACTTTTTATTGTTTCCTTGAACTAAGTATTGTGATTGGTTGCGTTTCTCAGTTGAGCTCTCTTATTGGTTTATTAACATGCTTCAGAATTGTACCTCTTATTAAAATGACAGCGTTTGCAGTGGAATACTAGCATACTGTTTCTGCATACTGCACTGAAATATACACTGAATAGCGTTTAATGGTTTAATAAATTTTTATAGTATGTGAAACCACATACATGGTAATCATTTCAAACAGTAGTATGTTGCATGTTTAATTCTGCAGTATTACATTTATCATATTTAATTTTGGCATTTTTTCTTGGAAATAAAAATGATTGTTTTATGTTTTTATTATAGTTTTGTATAACGTAGTCAGTCAGAACAAGAATCAAGTCAAGACATTAAAAAAAAACAGTTAATTTGTTCATTTAGTGGAAATGCAAAGTCAGGTCAAGCACAAGGCATTGTGGGATACAGGATTGCACACACAGGGCTGGACAGTGCAAGTGTTTTAGGTTCATTTGCAACTAAAAATAAAAGTGTACAAACTGTAAAATGAATTTAGGAATGTGTGTGAATAGAAAAAAAGTCCCAGCGGGTCCTTAAAAAGTGTTAAAATTCATAGAATAATTTGAATATTATGTTAAATAAATGTAAAACAGTTGGGTGAAAACCGGATGTGTTTAAGTATATTGGATCCGTGCAGTTGGTCTTAAAGGGACAGCAGCCTTATTTACCTGCAGCTGTCTGTCATTATTAATGTTAATTAATAATGTTTGATTGATACAGTGAAGACTATGCAGTGTTTTATTTATACACTTTATTCAATTTCTGTAATATTTCTTACTACATGTTAAATAAACCTAGCCTACTGTAGCTGAATAAATTAAAAGTTTATTTCATATATTTATTTGTTCTGTTGTGCTTGTAATTTGCTTCTTTTTCTTAATTTTAATAACAAAAATAAAATAAAAAGAGCTATATCGAGGTACATATCGTTATCGTGAAATAAAAGTTATCATACCGTGAAATAAGATTTTGGTTATATCGCCTATTATGCATTTAAAAAAAATAATAATAGTGTAACAGTATAGTATATAAATATAGTAGAAATAGTATGAGAAATATGGTAGTATTGAAAACATATGCAGTAATTGGTTTCTTGTCTTTGCACAGGAATCTGTCCAAGAAATACCAGCCTAAGAAGAAAGAGGAAGACGACAATAAGTATGTTTCATTTTGCTCATTTCTTTCATGATTGATATTAGATTTGTTTGGTGAAGTCCCATAGATTGATGTCTTCACACTGATGATGTCCCGTCCTGTCTTAGGTACACATGGTGCCGCGCGTTTCATTCGACGCTAAACGAGCTGAACGATTACGCCGGGCAGCATGAGCTCATCGCAGAGAACATGACGTCACAGATCATCGCCGAACTCACGCGATACGCGCAGGAAATCAAAACAGAGAGGAAAGCGGTGAGTGAACGAGCACTCGGATAACGTTACAACTGTGAAACGTGCAATTTGGTTTAAAAGAATGTCTTCTGTTCAAGTTGAATATACAGAGAGGATACGTCAGTCACTGGTGGGATGATTTTCTGAAGGGTGTGGCACATTTAAATACTTCTAAACACACAATGTACATCCATTTTTCTTGATATCCCACTTTTTTGTCCAGATTTTAGGTGTCTTCCTTGCTCATTGTGAATATCCAAGTGAATTTACAATAAAGTATTCATTTCAAAATGAATTTTTTAAAGCTAAAATGATATATATTTATCAATTTTTAGACAAGTTTGACTTAATAATGATATAAATAAAAATCAGACACACATATCTACCTATCTATACACAATAAAAATATTTATACATATAAAAATATGTTTATTTATTAATATGTATATACATATATATATATACGTGATGATACATGATATTACATTAGTATAATTTAACTTGTTCTTATAATATTGATAATATAATTTAAGACTTGGATTAATGACAGTGTGTTGCCCTTTATTTTTATGAATTCATAAGTTCATCATTCAGGACATGTTCTCTTCTAAATGATCATATTTGTCAGAATTACAGCACATCTCTCTCTTTTTTCCATAAATAGAGATGCTGTTGCATGTTTAGGCTGAAAGTTTCTGGTGTGTGTAAATGAATTACACTCATTTGTATGTGTGTGTGTGTTTCATCTTTCCACATAAACACACACACACACACACACACACACACACACAGTCTTTGAGCTCTCGAGGTCATCGACTGTATGATTTATATGTCCAGATAGCATTGAACTAGAGCGGTGTCAGAACACAACATGCATCTTTCATTTAGCAAATAAGATGAAGGCATTTAGATGTCAACCTGAAGAACGCAGATTTCCCAGCATTCAACACTCACACTCACACACACTGAGCAGGGCTCCATGGTGTCTGTCTGGACGATTTCCCAGAATGCTGCTTCTCTCCTGTTTCATAAACCTATTCTTTCTCTCTCTTTAACTATCTGTTTATCCATCTCTTTCTTTTGTCTACCTCAGTTCAATTGCTTCATTTTGTTGATTTGATACACACGTGCTATTTTCTGATGTATTTGTGCACTTATAGATATGTACGAACTTGTAGTTTATTCTGTAGTTCATGCATTTTGCAATAGAGAATTAATTAAATTAAAAAGTCTTGCTCCATTTTTTCCCATGTTTAATCCAGACAGCATATGGTCTGTTGCTGTAATTCTCTATTAAACCCATTGTTGAAGAAGCTTTACGCTGACTGGGCCTGTAACGTGTGTGTTTGAGACATGCTCCATCTGTAGGCCTCGTTCAGTAGTTCAGGTTATTATTCTGGGATGTGATAAATCTGCTTCATATCACCACACTCATCCAGATCCAGAAATCACTAGCTGAGCTTCTGCAGCGAAAAAGAAGAAACAAGAGAAGAGCGAAAAACAAAAGCACATCAACTTATGACATAGAGCAGACTGGTTTCGTGTAGCCAGATTTTTGACTAACAGCATAAAGCCGTATTCAGGCCAGGAACCGCCTACATAGGAAGAGACCGTCTGACAGACATGTAAAGTGACAGTTTTGTTTTTTGTTTTAAGTTTCTCTGAAATTGATATCTAGAAGTTTGAGTGATTTCAGACAATGTTCTCAATTCCAAGAAAATAATACTTTTAATTTAATTTAATTTTTTATTGTATTTTATTGTATTTTTTTATTTTTTTTATTTTTGTTTTATTTATTGTTTTATTTTTTTATCTTATTTTATTTTCTGTATTTTTTATTTAATTATTTTTTTCATTTTAATTTCTTTTTAAATGTTGTTGCATTTTTATTTATTTAAAGGGGTCATATGATGCTGCTAAAAATAACATTATTTTGTGTATTTGTTGTAATGAAATGTGTTTATGCGGTTTAAGGTTAAAAAAACACATTATTTTCCACATACTGTACATTATTGTTTCTCCTCTATGCCCCGCCTTTTTGAATCGCGTCGATTTTTACAAAGCTCATCGTTCTGAAGGAAAGCCGATCCGGCGATCCACAGCACTAAGTTGATGTATCCCCTCAGCGACCAGCACGGATCAGCTCTAGGCATGACGAAGCGGATATTGTCCTCTTTTGGAAGACCAAACAAAGTAGTTTTGCTTTCACAACGAAGCACACAGCTCTTCACGACATGGCGGCAGCAACAATACTACAGCGAGAATAAAAGTTACACCTTCTTTCTTTGCGTGAACATTTGGGCGGCGTTATGCAAATCTTCCCACATAGTGATGTAGACGTGTTAGAACGAGCTGTTTTAGGTAGGCGTGGCTAATTCTTAACTTTTATAAAAAATATCTCTTTGGATTTGAGACTTTAGTCTTTGCAACTTTACAGATCTTCTTTATGCACCAAGTGCTTGTAACACTCCAAAGAGAAAGGAAAAATTGAAATCGTGTCATATGACCCCTTTAATAACTTTTTATATTTTATTTTATTTTATTATTGTGTTTATTTTATGTTTTTATTTATTTTTTTATTTCAATTTGTATTTATTTATAGTGGAAAGAACTCATGAGTCATGATGTCAGTGCAGTTGCTGTTGTTCAAGACCGTGTGCTTTCTGTTTTTGATCCATGGGAAACGAGTCTGCATTTATCTTCTGTAAGCGTGTGTCTGTGTATGAAGCATTACTGATTGAAATCATCTCTGAAGCAGCATCAGTGTTGTTCAGTCTCGTCTCTTTCATCTGTTCCTCAGGTCACGTTTTTCTCTGTTATTTATTTTCTTGTTCTTTTCTCAGCTGTTCTAACGGACAGGTTCTCAGTGAAGCTTTGTTTTTTAAAAATAGCTAGAGATCAACTTCCTCTTTGAGAACAGGTGGACTTCCTCTGATTGGCTGAAACTATAAAGACTGATTCCAGATCAGCTGTGAGTTTAGATTTAATTTGGTTCGTTTGTTCTAATGGGCCGCAAAAAGCAGAAGAATTAAACTGTTGTTGAGCACTTTTGCCCTATGTGTGTGCGTGCGTGTGAGTTTTCACGTTTATCTGTTTTGAAAGAACTGAGAGGGTCAGTAAAGCTCAACTGCAGTTTAAAATGCTTTAAATACCACAATTAAATGATAAATACACCATCTTGTGTATGTGTTTGTTCATTCGTGCTTTAAAAGTCTTGATCGCTATGCTAGACACATCTGGACTCCTTCAGCATCGGCTGACTGTGTGGTTTTGTACCCATAATGCTTTGTGCTCTATAGGGTTTTATTCACACGCCGCATGCCTGCATTCCGTATTCAGCCCAGAAACTCAGCGATGAATACTAAACACATTCACACTCTTTCATTCATTCACTCATTTTCTCACTGTCAGTCCTTCTGTCCGGTCTAAACACGTTTCACTGATTTCCGGTTCAGTCACCACAGAGAAACAGCGGGTTTTTACCACGTAACTCGTGATAGATAGATCCTAACTTAGACTTTGTGAAAACATTTTGGCTCTGAGTTTGTGTTGGGCGGCACCTGTGTGAGATACAGAAATATAAGTGTTTTAATATATATGATTTTTTCAGGAATATTTCAATTAAATATATATATATTGGCCATGGTGGAGTTTGGAGTGTGACTGTTTGAGGTTGTGGACAGGTGTGTTTTATACTGATAACGAGTTCAAACAGATGCCATTAATACAGGTAACCAGTGGAGGACAGAGGAGCCTCTTAAAGAAGAAGTTACAGGTCTGTGAGAGCCAGAAATCTTGCTTGTTTGTAGGTGACCAAATACTTATTTTACAGAGGAATTTACCAATTAATTCTTTAAAAATCCTACAATGTGATTTTCTGGATTTTTTTTTCTCATTTTGTCTCTCATAGTTGAGGTATACCTATGATGAAAATTACAGGCCTCTCTCGTCTTTTTAAGTGGGAGAACTTGCACAATTGGTGGCTGACTAAATACTTTTTTCCCCCACTGTATATATATATATATATATAAAATTTTCGGAGTACCTTAATATTTCTTAAATTCATGAAAAAATTTATATATATATATAAATACAGAATACATATTTATATCTAAATAAATATAAATTTTAAAACCAGATAAATATTAAATTATAGAAATTTTTATTCATTTTACATTTTTAAACATAAATATGTTAATTACATTTTATTTTTTATTATATATATAATAAAACATACTGTTAATAATACAATTATTCTATTTATGGTTTATATATATATATATATGATTTTTCTAAATTTGAGAAAATGTAAAATATTTAAAATATTTATTTTATTTTTATTAATAATAAAATTATTATATGTATGGGTAGTATTTATATTTATTTAGATATTTATATAAATATATATTTTTTATTTAGATATAAAAGAAAAAAAATTGATTAAAAAAAATTCCTAAAATTATATATATTAGGAATGTTATAAATGTTTTCAAACAGATCAGTGTTTCGAAAGTGTTTCAGAACCGTAGTATTTACACTCTTTAGGAAGTCAAACACCACATGACTTGCACATTTATCTGGTAAGTATTTAACCTGTTTCACCGTTAAAAGAGAACCACTTAGGATCCATATACACTCTGCTATTCAAATACAGTCAAATACATTCAAGTGGAAGGACAGTGAGATGTTTGTCTTGAGTGACTGCACTGAGATGAACGGTCTGCTGATGTTTGATGCTGTCTGATTCTGTGTAGCAAACAGGATATTGAGTCTAATCTGTGTCATTAAGACAGATCTGACCGTCTGACATTCACTACAGGTGTCTGTGTGCTTTACAGACAAGACTAGACAGCAGCTGAGACTGGATTGGAAGTTATCACAAGCATTAATGTTGCAGGAATTAATAAGGAATGTTCTGGGTTCAGTCTGTAGACAGAAAATAATTTAGACAAGCAAAAATCACATTTACAGTAATGCCCTATAAGTGATTATAAGCTGTCACGTGTCATTAAAGCTCTGAATGTTGGCTCACACGGGCGTCTTCAGCTGATCTCAGACCTGCATGAGAAGCAGCTCTTTATCTGTGTGGCACACTGAGCTCTTTGTGTGGGAGATATTTGAGCGTTGGCCAAACGAACACTTTCCTGGAGTGCTCAGGCCAAGAGGAGCCGTCGAGAGAAACACACAGACGGCCTGGAGTGTGACGACACACACAGGATACACACAGAACACGGCAATATGGCTTCCTGGCAGCTCACACACATGCAAACACACACACTTCCTCTCAGGTTCAGGCTCACATACAAACAGATAATTCTGATTGTGTTTTTCAAATATTTCTATCTTAGTTAACTGCAAATGAGAGCTCCTTAATGTTCCTTCTTGACAGTAATGTGACGAAATTTCCCTTTATGTATGTAAAACTATGATGGATATTACATTTTTTTTTTTTTACTTTCTCTCTCACAGCATTTCCATGATGGACGGAAGGCACAGCAACAGGTCGAAGCCAGTTGGAAACAGCTGGAATCGGTGAGTTCAGTCAAGATCAATTATCAATCAATAATCTTTATAATAAATGCGCACTGGAATCACAATTTTATCAGATGGTAATACTACGGTACTTTGATATACAGTGGTCTCCAAAATTCTGGGAGCACTAGTGAAAAGGCTTTTATTTTGCATTATTCAACACATTATTGTAATACAGATTAAATGATGAAAATATTAAAATTATATTAAAATATTTACATTTGAACTTAAAACAGTATTTTTAAGATTAATTTAATTTATGCATTTATTAAACTTACATTATTCAATGCAACATTTTAATACAAATTAAATGAATAAAATATTCAAATTCAATTGAGTAATTAATTTTAATTTTGTGTTATTTATTTTTTTTAAATTTTTTAACATTTCATTAAACTTTCATGATTCTGTACAACATTTTAATACAAATTAAATTATTAAAATGTTACAATGATTTAAATATTATAATATTATAATTTTGTTTATTTTTGTGTTTTTAAAAAATAATTAACTTATTATTCAATTCAACATTTAATGCATATTCAATTATTAAAATATTAAAGTTTGAATAATTAATTTTTAAATTGAATTATTTTAATACAATTGAAATATTATAGTCAAATTAAATAATTTTGAAATTAAAATATTGTAATATTATTCATATTTGAGGTAGTAATACCTTTAAGGTACTAATATGCACCTTTTAGGGGTAAATAAGGTACAAAGGTGTACATTTTGAAAAGGGACTGCCCCAGTGACCGCTTTTGTACCTTTTTTTCTGAGAGTGTAGCTGTATGCCATGCTACTGGATGAATGCCATATTCACTTACTTCAAAGTATACCATGGTATTACCATAGTAAATGTCCAAAAGGCTAAGATAACCCCTTAGTCCATTAGATACTGTGTGTGTGTGTGTGTGTGTGTGATCAGAGGGACGTCTCACACACACACTGAAGCAGACAGGATATATCACGACATTCCTCTGTACGCCCACTGTCTCAGAGTGTGTGGTGTTTGAGATGGATTGTGTCATTGTTAGCAGAGTCTTCTGGCTGTTTGTTGATTCAGTGTGTGTGTGTGAGAGAACAAGAGAGCACTGCCTGTGTGTGTCCGTGTGTAAGAATGAGTTCATTGTGTGTGTGTTTGCGTGATTGGTCAATGGTCAGTGCGGACACAAATGTTGATTGTCCCTTCAAATAAATGAGTGCGAGAGCGAGATGAAGAATAAACAATTTGATAATGGATGAACGTTTATTATACCGCAGTTCACACATCTGTTCGGTGGGCTGAGTGTGTGAGTGTGCTAATTACAATGTGAGTGTTCTGCATCTGAACATCTGTAAGTACATGAATCTAGAGCAGTGTGTTCTGCCATCGTTTAACACGTGTGTGTGTGTGTGTGCAGTGTAAGCGGAAGTTTGAGCGGGATTGTAAAGAAGCAGATCGAGCCCAGCAGTACTTTGAGAAGCTGGACGCAGACATCAACGTGACGAAAGCAGACGTGGAGAAGGTAAGACCATCTGTTAAGGAATCGTACATCATCCAGCATTCCTGAAGAAAAAAAACACCAGTTTCTCCACTGGGAAGCTGATTTTAACAGTAATAAGACAGAAATTATGATATAATTGTAGAAACCACAAGTCAGTTCATTATATCTATCTATCTCTCTGTTTTCTATCTATCTATCTATCTATCTATCTATCTATCTATCTATCTATCTATATGTCTGTCTTGTCTTGTCTGTCTGTCTCTCTGTCTCTCTGTCTGCCTTTTATCTATCATCATCTCACTTCATTTTATTTAGTTTCAGTTTAGTTTATATCAAATGAAAAAGTGATAAACTGATACAGCCCGAGTGATTCACATGTGTCTGTTTTTCTCTTCACTTCATCTTAACACATCCCTCACTGTCTCACACTGCTGCCGTGGTGCTGTGTGGAAACTCGACCGTGTGTGTGTGTGTAGAGTCACACAGGACAGGCAACATCGCCTACGTTCTCTACTCATTTTCAGTCTTTTTTTGTTCCAGAGCGTGTGCTGGGCAGATGTCTCTGTGATAGCTTGAGTCACACAAAGAGAAATTTCCAAAGTATTCAGATGTGGAAAAGAGCTCATGCTTCCAGCAGTCCAGAGAGCATTTTTTTGTCATTTAGTGAAAAAGTCAAGGAGATCTTTCAGGTAGCATGCGTGAGGGTCCAAAAAATTCAGTGCAAAGCCAAAGCTAATCTTGCAGATCTTTTCTGTTAATGAAAATGCAGACGTTTCAGGGTCAGTAAAGGTACAACAGCTGCATCGACTCAATTAGTGAGTGACTACATTCAAAATAGAATTCTATTTCTGCAGTTTACAGTATGTATACTATGTACAGTATTTGAATTGTGAATGCATGGGATACTTGAATGGACTCCTATGCATATAACCAGAGCATCCCACAATGCAATGCGTCTTGACTTCCTCTTCCATTTACACTGAGACACATAGACCGAAAGTAACATATGGTTAATTTTTTTGATTTGCCACAGTTCAGATTGCCATTTACTTCTGAGATGATGATTAGACGTCAGTTACTGAATTAAACATGCAACATAATAAGGTCGTTTGACAACAACATGGCAGTTTGCAAGTTACTATATGATAGATATAATTAATTGTGTGGTTTTAACGCATGTTGGTTTGATGTGTTGTCGAGCGGTTTGTGTCGATATCACTGTCATGTTACAGTGTAGATTTAAGTACTAACTAGCAGCCAAAGCTAACTAATGTATATGTGTGTTTTTTTTTAAAATCATGCCTTGAAGCGATGTTACCTAAAGGTAGGTGCACGGCGGCAGGTCTGTGTGTGTGTGCGTGTGTGTGTCTGTGTGTCAGGACACTGTTGCTTCCTGTCCAGCCATGGCCACGCCCACACGACACACCGGCCACCCAGTCACAGGCTTGATTAAAGTTTGTCTGCGCTGCTGCTCCTCCAGTCACATCGCTCCAGGCATGAATATTTAAACATGTAAATCTCAAAGCGTCCTCTTCTGCTGGCCCATATATAAATGTCGCTTACCATATCACAGTTTATTTAGGAGGTGTGTGTTTGTGTGTGTTTAGGAATCATCAGCATCTGGTGGTCTGTCCAAATAGTGCAAAATAAAATAAAATATAAAATAAAAAAACTGTGCTGTATGTTCACCTTTCATTTATTTGTAATTGTACTCTATTTTATTTTTATTTATTTTTAAATTATTTTTATTTTCAATTATATAAGTGTGTGTAATATTAATAAATAATATATATTTTTATTTAAATATTTAATAATACATAATATACATAATATAATAAAATAAGCTGTATATTCACTATTCTTTTATAATTTATAAAATAAAATAATAAATTATAGTTAACGTATATTTGATTAAAAAAATGAAATAAAATGTATATTTTAAATTAGATTATTAATAAATAGTATTCATTTTGTTTATTTATATAATTCATTAATATTTGTATTATTATCAGTTTATTTACATTATTTATAATTAGATTATTTAAAGAAAATTAAAATGTCATATCACTCATTGCTTGTGTATTACTTTTTTCTCTGAAATATAAGAATATTTAAATGTAAGAATAGTGCATTCAAATATTTATATGATATTTAAAATATATAATATAAAAATGTACATTATAATATAAAAATAAAAATCATATAAAAACCATACATTATTATATTTATTTATATTTTGTATATTATATTTTTTAATTTTGTATGAATATATAAAATCTAAAAACAAATATATTATGTTTTTTTATATCATATGTATATATATATATATATATATATGTATATATGTATATGTATTTGAATATAAATAGTATGTATTTGAATGCAATACATTTAAATATTCTTATATTTAAGAAAAAATGTAAATGCACAAGCAGTGAGTGCAAATGTAATTTTAGGGGATATTTTTTCTGAACTTCCTGTGGCTCATGCACAAGCCTGCTGCTGCTGAGCTGCTGGTGAAGTTTGAGTGTTTCCATGGCAACACTGAACCTCAGGTTAACCAGTGTGATTTCCTGGAATCGGATCAGGATGTGGTTGACATGACGCTGCTTTCTCTGTATCGTTCTCTCACTTAAATGATGCACATTAAAATGCATTAGTATACTTTAGAATTGCGTTTACTTCAGCAGCATGCATTTGAATATTTCTTCAACCCACATGAGCTCTTGAGCGTCGTGTAGGATGTTTATGTCTTGTAGATTTTATTTTAGCTTTTCACATGTATGTCATATCAGCCGTTTCACACAGAAGTGTGTTATAGTTATAAACACATCTGTAAGAATTAGGCTAAATGTGTTTCTGTACTGAGTCAGAATATAGTATAATAGTATAATAGTAATAGTATAGATAATAATATTATAATAATAGTATAATAGTATAGAGTCAGTGCGAGTGGACTTTGAGGTTTGTGATTGAGTTTAGGGGAAGTCATTGAGTCTGAAAACAAAAATGTGTTATTTTGAGTGCACTACATTCCCTAGTCACAGCGATAACAGCATCTCTTTCATTTAAATGAGAGTTTTACCAGGTAGCCCCGCCCACGATGAAATCTCATTGGTTAAAAATCTCACTGTATATTTAACATCAGCAAATCTGAATTGCTTATGACTTTAGAAAACCATGCGATTGTAGTAATTTGAATGTAAATGTTCTTGCAAAGACGTTGGAAGATGCATATATGTTTAAGTCTGTGGCTTTTAGGGATATAATTAATCAAATTACTTTTAATAACATTGCATAATCAGTAATATTTCATTCTCTCTCTTTTAGGCACGGCAGCAGGCTCAGATGAGACACCAGATGGCTTCTGACAGCAAGAATGAATATTCCTCATGTCTGCAGAAGTTCAACCAGGAACAGAATGAACATTATTACACCATCATCCCTAATATCTTCCAGGTGCACGCACGCACATACACACACACACACACACACAGAAACATCCACTGGGAAAGAATTAGCTAATAATATTGGTGTTTATTTGTATGCACCAGTTGCATTATTTTTGAATTCACTATTGTGGATAATGCAAATGAAGTAACAGCATAAACACACCCCAAAACACAATTTGCATGATACAATTCCTGATCTCACAGATCTACTCAAAAATACACACACTAACTCTGTGTCTGTGTGTGTGTGTTTTGAGAGCAGAAGATCCAGGCAATGGAGGAGAAGAGGATAGAGCGAATGGGCGAGTCGCTGAAGACATTTGCGGAGGTCGACCGACAGATTCTGCCCATCATTGGGAAATGCCTGGATGGAATAACACAAGTGGCCGAGTCCATCGAACCCAAGAATGTTAGTAACACACTCATTCAAGGCCTGGCATCCTTTTCTGTTCAAAATACCTCTCATTCTCTCATAGAAACTCAATCTGAGTTGAACAAGACACATCTCCTGACACATTTAACCCCATTACTGACTCCATCACTGATCTAGGATCAGTCTCTGGCCGTTTGGTAGAACAGATTAGAATATCGTAAATCACGGACACCTGACTCCAGCGGCACAAATTTCATAGAAAAGGAATTGCAAAGAACAGGGTTGTGAAATGTCTTAAACTGCTGTTCAAAAGTTTGGGGTCTATAAGATGTTTTATTGTCTTGTGCTCATCAAGGCTGCTTTTATTTGATTAGAAATACAGTAAAATTGTGAAATATTACCATTTAAAGTAGCTGCTTTCTATTTGAATATATTGTCAAATGTAATTTATTTCTGTGATGCAAAGCTGAATTTTCAGCATCATTACTCCAGTCTCAGTGTCACATGATCCTTCAGAAATCTGATTTGCTGCTCAAGAAACATTTATTATTATCATCAATGTTGAAAACAGTTGTGCTGCTTAATATTTTTGTGGAAACTTTTTGTCAGGATTCTGTAATGAATAGAAAGTTCAAAAGAACAGCATTTATTTGAAATAGAAATCTTTTGTAACCTTAAAAATGTAATTTTTGATCAATTTAATGTGTTCTTGGTAAATAAAAAATTAAGTATTAATTAAAAAAACAAACAAAATGAAGATCTTACAGACCCCAAACTTAACTCACGTTTAATTTCTGAAACATGTTGTTTAATATGTATGTACTAGAAATTTGTGGAAATACATATTTTCAAAAATGTAGCTAATATTGAAATAAGGATATAAGTAATAGTGACACAATATGACATATTGAAGGCTTTGTAATTTATTTGCCCTTTACAGCCTCATTATCATTTGAGACAAATTAAATTTGCCGTCTAAAAAAATCTCCTCTGATGTAGTCCAGAATCTCTGAAAGGTTTTTAATGCATATTTTCTGTCTTTTTAATTATTTACTGACAATGCAATTGCACAAATTATGTATTTAGATATAGATATAATAATCTGCATATGCAGGTTGTTGTCTCTGACTATACAGTAGCTTTTTAGGACAAAACATCTTCCAATATGACCTAAATCTGACAAAACCTCCTTTTAGAGGCATCCTCAAAAAGACTATATTTTTTAAAGATATATTTTTGGGAAGGGATTGTTTCGTAGCAATACTAATGAGCTTATTTTATTTTAATCTAAAACCATTTTTGTTACTTGAAATAACATGAAATATTATTAAATATATATATATATAAACTGTATATTAGGGCTGCACGATATATATTGAAAATATTGAAATATCACACATGTAAATATCGTGATATGCAAATCGCAATGGCGCGCGATATTTGAATAATTTTAATAATAGGCTGCTTAAATCAAAATGTTGCAAAAGGTCAAAGTTTTAGTTCAACGCATATAGCAGAGAATTGCTTGACGTTAAAAAAAGTTAAAGTGCAATAAGCAGAAAACTACTCTTTGCCGTCTCGTCTTGCTGTCTGACTCACGCCTGAAGCGTGCGCACAAGCCGTATCTCGCACAGCGTCTCTTCAGTTCTGCTGCACACGTGCAAAGCACGCGCACACACGTAGAATTATGTCAATAGTACCCGTCTCGACGATCATTCTCTTAAGTCAGTTATGTTTTAAATTAATGTAAACAGCTGAGAAAGAAATCGGATGTGTATCATTATACTGGATCCATGCAGTCGGATTTAAAGAGATAGCAGCCTATAAATACGTGCTGCTGAATATGTCACTAATGTTAATCAAACAACCAAACAGCTGTAACAAAGATTAATCTACATTTAATTCATACAGTGAACACAATGCAGTGTTATTTTACACTTAATTATTAAATTTCTGTACCTGAATACTACTGTTTATTTGATCTATGCTCATAAATTGTGTATTTGTTCTTTTTTCCCCCTTTTTCTTTCTTTTTTTTTACTGACTGTTCACTTGCCTTTAATCATGTTTGAACTTTCTCAGACTATAGTTTTTGCTGTGGTATATGAAGAAGTACTTGTATGTGTGTGGAAAGCAAAGTCACAATGATATAAAATTTGTGTCATTAATTTTTTTGTCATTCACATTGATGTTAAAATTACATTTTCTGATTTGTGACATTTCTTGTTGTGTACTGCTAAAACACTGCTGGTCACTTTCAGAAGTTGTAGTGATTCTTTCTATTCCAAGAAAGAATGTGAAACAAATTGGTTATATAATTAAAAAATATTTTAAAATATAATTCAAATAGATTTTTCACACGTTAAGCAATATCGTATCGCATATCGAATATCGCATTTTTTAACAAGGTATCGCGTATCACATTTTTTTTCAATATCGCACAGCCCTACTGTATATATATTAACTAGTTGTCAAGACAGTTTTGAAGTGCTAAAAAGTTTGAAGTACTAAAAAGTGCTAAAAAATAATAACAAAAACACACAATAAAATTGGAAAATGAAGCGTTTGAGAGAGGCGGGGCATAGAGGACCTACAATAATGTACAGTATTTGAAAAAGAATGTGTTTTTTGAACATTAAAGCATGTCAACATATTCTGTTACACCAAATACACAAAATAGTGATCTTTAAAAAAGCATCATATGACCCCTTTAACTAAAATGAAAGTGAATACAAAAAATATAAAAATCCAATCTAATTCAACATATGAATAAAAACTATAATAGTATGTAATACTAAACTCACACAGTAAGACTGTCTTCCCCTGCAGGACTCCTCTCAGGTCATAGAGTCGTATAAGTCTGGGTTCGAGCCTCCTGGCGATGTGGAGTTTGAAGACTACGGTCAGGCGATGAAGAGGACGGTGTCTGAGACCAGTCTGACTAACTCACGCTCGGACAGCAAAGCGGACCGTTCCAGCAAGGGCAAGAGCAAAACTCTCTGGCCTTTCATTAAGAAAAACAAGGTAACACACACGGGCGTAACATTCGCTCGCAGTTACTTCGATTTGACCCAAAACCAAAACTCAAGTAAAAATGAACAGCACAGACTGATCTAAATTGCTCATAAGAGTGATTGTTTCATGTGTTTGTGAGTTTTGTTTTAGTTTATGCTTGTTTAATTTCATTTGTAGGTTGTTTGTATTTGTGTAGTTTTATTGTAGTACTTGTAGATGCCGTTATTCGTTTGCTGCCATCGTTCTCCTTTCCCTTCCCTTTGTTCACCTGCACGAAAATACAAATGTTCCACGTTCATCCTGACGCTCCACTGATAACATACTAATGCACCGGCCCGAGAGGCCTCACCTTTGACCTTTGACATCGCAGAGAAACGTAACCCTAAACCCTTTATTCCTGTGTTGTCCTTTCAAACCGAGAGTAACTTCCTTCTCCAGCCACTCATCGTTGCTGTTCCCATGGTAACCACATTCTTCTTTTCCTCGTCTTCCTCTGTCTTCTTGTGACCTTTGACATTTGTATCAAAGGCTCTGCTCTTACTGAGCATGCTCAGTCCAAACCCCGCCTAACCTCGCAGGACCAGGATGTGAGCATTAACACTGTCATACATATTTAATGAGGTGTGTCTGTGTGGCTATGGGCGGAATGGAAAACTAGTTGTACATACTGTACAGAATATACTGTTTATAATTATTTACTAGTATATATAGTTCAAAAGTTTCAGGTCAGTAAGATTTGTTTTATTAATTCTTTTATTCTACAAGGATGCATTAAATTGATTAAGTGACTAAAGCCATTTATAATGTTACAAAAGATTTACATTTTACAATGAATGTTATTTTGAACTTTCTATTCATTCAGATTACACAGAATATGAAGAAAACACAAAAATATGAAGCAGCACAACTGTTTTCAACATTAATAATAATCAGAAATGTGTCTTGAGCAGCAAGTCAGCATATTAGAGTGATTTCTGAAGATCATGTGACACTGAAGACTGGAGTAATGATGCTGAAAATTCAGCTTTGCATCACAGAAATAAATTACATTTTAAAATATATTCAAATAGAAAACAGTTATTTTAAATTGTAAGAATTTTTCACAATATTACTGATTTTACTGTATTTTTGATCAGATAAATAAAGACTTGGTGAGCAGAAAATACTTAAATACATAATAAAATACATAATATATTTATTTTAATTTATGCAAAACTTTACGATACATACATTGTGGTCACATGATCTCATCACATCATATTTAATTCGGCAAGTGGCGTCCAGTTGTAATATCATAAATAAATATGGTTATTTTGCATTTTTAGTCCAGTCTTGTGTAAATATGTTGCAACATTTGGCAGTCTGTGTAATATTGCGACTGATATTCTGGAAATGTAATTTTAGCGGATTGCATTATGGGATATCATATTCCATATGGTGTGCTTTGTTGTATAATACACATTTTGGCAAATGTACAGTAGTAGTCCATTTGCATATTGGGCATAGTATACATATTGCCTAAAAAGTAATAGAAGTATGTAATACGCTGTTCCAATCATAGCCTGTGTTTGTCAGTTCACGTCTATCCCGTGTGTGTTTTGTGTGTGTAACGTGTCTGTTTGTGGTCACACAAAACATTATTACGAGACTTTACTTAGAAACTATACAATAATACAGTCCTCTAAACGCTAAACGCTCACACATCTCACGCACAACTGTATCTGATTAATAGTGTTTATGCCTGAGAATGTTCTACAGGGTTAGAAGTTGAAATCGTTCTTGTGTTTATGTATGATGGTGAAGATTATAGCAATCCTCTGGGTTCAATACGAGTTAAGCTCTGTTGGGAGCATCTGTGACATGCTGTCGATTACCACAGGAAATCTGCTCAACTTTGAAAAAACAAGGAGAATTGCTGTTTACAGAAATGCTCTTACATGGGAAGTCAATAGAATTGTTAAGTAGATCTGAAATATTAAAAATCATTTTTGTTAAGTAAAATAAAGCAGAATATAAATATTCGATATATATAAAAAATTGCTTGGCAACTAACTGAAATAAAACAGGTTGACGTACTTAAATTACTAAAACGAAAACATAATAAAAAAATTAAAGCGTAAATAGCAATGCGCAAAAAAGTCAGGAATTTATGCTTGTTATTTATTTATTTATTACTTTTCTTCTTATTATTAATTATTTTAACTTTTTTATAGATTTAGCTATTTTAATTACCAATTAAAATGACAATAGCACATCAAATTAGTAAAAATTCAACAAAAATTCAAATGAAAATATAAAAATAAAAAGCCACCTGTTGTCAATAGGACACATCATGCTTTACACTAACTCAAACATATCATGTTCAATCTGCACCAAATTTCATATGTTTGATAAAAGTGCTGGACTGAAGAAATCTACATGCCAAAATCCAGTTATAGTCATAGCGCCACCAGCTGGCAGCAGGAAGATTGGCACATATAAATGACTAGGACATATTCCTCCTTCATTTACCACTTTAAATGCATATTGCTCGCCGTTCGCTGTCTTACTAAAGACGCCCGCTGGCGGTGAGCCCGGGTGCGAGGGCCCGTTCATCGCTGCTTGCAGCTTTAATTTATTTATTACTTTTCTTCTTATTATTAATTATTTTAACTTTTTTTATAGATTTAGCTATTTTAATTACCAATTAAAATGACAATAGCACATCAAATTAGTAAAAATTCAACAAAAATTCAAATGAAAATATAAAAATAAAAACTTATTCAAAATATTAATATATATCAAAGTATATAAATAATACTAAAATAGGGCAGGATTTTCTGGGAGGTTTAAAAGCAAAAATGTGCAGCTCATATTTATGCTGAAGCAATTATTTATTTATTTATTATTATTATTATTTTTACAAAATATGTTATTTGAGTTGTGTAAATTTTCCTTGTAGTGGTAGGACCCTTCCTGGTTATGCAATTGTTCCATGGACTTCCACTGTAAATGCATTATTGCACACATAATTGTGATTTCCTGTGGTATTCGGCACACTTATCTTGGTTTTTCCTAATGCATAAAGGGCAGATTTTGTCTGTGATGTTTTAGCAGGTTGTCTAGTCTGTTGGGAACTGAACCGTTAATGTGAGCTCTCCCAGAACACACGTTCATTAATTTCTCTATTACGCTTTTGGGAGCTCGCTAATAAGAAAGTGAAAGAGAGAGAGAAAAAGAGCAAATGATTGACCTGAATTGAGTCTTTGTGCATTAGAGGAGTGTGTGTGTGTGTGTGTGCTGTGCATGCAATGTTTGTTAAAGGGACAGTTCAGCCAGAAATGAAAACGCTGGCATCATGTACTCACTCTCACTGACTGACTTACTTTCATGGAACACAAAAAGAGAAAAGGAATATTTATGCTGCTCTTTTGCCATACAATGAAAGTAGAGGGTGACTATGGCTGTCATACTTCAAAAAGGGACAAAAAGGCAAGAAATAATTTGACAGACTGCCACAGATTTACAGTTCTTCAGAAAAGATGTTACTGGTAGAAGACAGTTACTCATCAATTGCAGCAAAATTGATTTTTCAGCTGCACACCCTCAGAAACTACTGCTGGGATCAATATTTAAGACCGTCCGTATGCATATATTGCAACATTTTTTATTCACAATGTATTGAATTTTTAATCTTATTTTTATTTTATTTATAATTTTTCTTCATAATGTATTGATAAATGACTATTCTCTACACACACATTTTTTTATCTTATTTTTATTTAATTGCATTTTTTTTTCTTCATAAAGAGCTACATTTTAAAACTAATTTCTATTTATTTTATTTATAAAATTTTAAACAAAATAAATATATAAATAAATGAATTTCCTTATTTATTTTATTTATTTATTTATTCATAATGTATGACTATATATTATTTTTTCATTTATTTAAAAAAAATTGTCTTCAAAAATACAAGTATAGCTGAATATCTATTATACATGTGTGTGTATATCATTTTTTAAAAATTACTTAGCACCTTGTTTAAATACTATTTTTATTGTTTTTTCACTGTAAAAATGTTCTTAAAATTTAAAACAACTTAAAATGTACAGTTGTTTGTTGAGATAAATTTTTAACTGCATTAATCTAAACTAAAGTTAACTAAATTTATAATTTTAAGCATACTTCTTTAAATTGAAACAATGCATTATTCCTTATTTTATTGTTGAATTTTAAGTTGTGATAATCACAGCAATCTTTTTTTACAGAGTTGTTTTGTGATTAATGCTTTGCCAATATTGTATGCAAACACAATCCTGCCAATAAAGTACTTAAAATTGAATTTAATTGACACATAGGTGAATTATCAGTGTCAGATCATCAGTGAATAATGACTTAGATCTTTTTCTTCGCACAAAGCTATTGTTTGGCTTGGAATCTAGTCATATGTACTACTTTTACAGTGCTTTTAGTCATTTTTGAAGCTCATGAATGCCCATGGTCCCCATCCGCTTCAATTACATTGAAAAAGCAGCATAAGCATCCCCGTTTGAGTTCCACGGAAGAACGACAGTCATTGACGTGATGTTTATTTTTGGGTGATCCGTCCCTTGAAATGGTTCTGCGTGATTTGACCCCTGCATGTGACCCCTGATGTACGGAACAGAGTTTAACGCACTAACTCTCTCGCTCACAGGGTTAATAACACCACAGCTGCAGCGTGTTTCTTTCAGTTGCCGTTTCTTTTACGTTCTGTTTTAGTTTGCATTCTCCTTTATTCTTTTAATTGATTAATTGATTAATTCGTTTCATTTTTGGGTCCTTATTTCTCTTGTTTTGTGTTCCCCCTCCTTTTTTGTTTACCTCTTTCCGGATCGGTTTGGTCCGCACCTATTTTAAAAATATCTCCTTTAGAGGTATATAACCATCACACCATAACACAGCAAGACATCTATGCTCAAGTAGAGCCTTTATATCCCCACAGTATATCATTTAGCACTCTTTCGCTCTCTCTCCTTCTCTCTCTCCCTCTCTCTCTCTCTCTCTCTCTCTCTCTCTCTCTCTCTCTGTAAATCTCTCTCACTCACTGGTCGCTGCTCTGTGGCTCGTGTCTTACCGGTAGCTTATGTCCCTGTTAACATCCCCCATACCTCGCCAGCCCCCTCCTGACCCTCCCTCACCTTCTGCTGTGACCCCTGACCCCTGCCCCACTCCCCAGACCCCCAAACAGTCCAAGGAGCCCTTGTCCCACCGATTCAACGACCTCATGACCTCCAAGCCCAAAATGCACTGCCTCAGGAGCCTCCGGCGAGGGGTAAGTATCCGTGCATGCTGAGGTTCCACGTCTTCCACGTGCGTGTGTTAAAGTAAGTGTGTGGGTGCACGTGTGCCGCTCTGTGCCTGTCGTCGGCTGTACTCTCATGTCAGTGTACGTTTCCATTCAGAAAAAAGGAGTCGAATGATCATTTTAAGGTGTTTTTTGCATCATAATCTAAATATAAAACTATTAATGTCATAATGTAACTAATGCTGCCTTTAAGTCATGACTGAATCATATCATATTTGGGTGATTCTTCAGTCAGAGGAATTTTTCTGTGCCTTAAAATGATTTCAAAAGAAAAATTTGTTTTTATTAATTTATTTCTTTATTTTATGTTATTTATTTAGCAATAATTCTGGTTTTAATGGATAGAATACAGTGGTTATATTGTTAATTTTTATGTTTTATTTGACATTTATTTATTATATATCTATAATATTATAGATATATCGATGATATTTATTTATATTTATTCATTATTAATACTGTTAATAACTGTAAATTTTCCAGAATTTAACTAAATTTTGTGCTCGTCTTGTAGACTTTTTAGTGTCCCTCTATAATGAAATATTCTAATCAGGGAAATTCTTTTTTGAGTTTTTTTTCTTAAGAACCTTAAAAAATAGATTTTGAATAAATTTGGTATTTATATGTGTACAATTGGCATTTTTTTTATTACCAAGAATCTCTGCCACAATCAGTGTTATTTTAATATTATTAGTATTAATATTTTGAATTAGATTTTATATTTTCAATTTCAATTTTTACTTTTGTATTTTTATATATTAAAATTATTTAATTTATTGTTTTATATTTTAAGTCTTAGTGATTTTGTTATGTGCTTTTGTCATTTTTATAATTTTTTTATTATTTCTTTTTATTTAGCTTTATAATGGCTTTGTAATTTTATATTTTTAATTAGTTTTTATAGTTACACTTTCAATTTACATTTTTTTTTCTTTTTTTTAAAAGTTTTAGTAATTTTGTTATATGCTTTATTCGTTTTTTAAAATATTTTTATTTAGCTTTAATTGATTTCATGTCAGTTTTAGGTTTAGTAATTTTAATACTTATTATTTCAGTTAGTTGCTCAGGCAATATTTTTGTTCACAATTTTTAAGTTGATCTTTTCCGTCTAATATTTATGTTATTTAATTTCAATGTAGTTTTAATTAATGAAAAAAAAAAACTGCAAGCATTTTAGACAACAATTGTCCTTTTACAAAAACAAAAAAAAAACGTAAATTTGAATATTGTATTATATTAAATTATGCTAAATTAAATTATATTATTCCTTGCCCTTTATCTTGTTGCACTAGTGCTAAAAAAACTCTTCCTGTCTTTGGGGAAATGTGTGAATGAAATATGAAACTGAAATGTTTTTCATACCAAAATGTGACCACACATGACTAAATATAGACTAAGAAGGACTTGAAGGCAGCATTAGCTTCTGAAGCGATGATGTCATAGTGTGACTCAGAGTCCGCAGGCGATGATGTCATGATTCTGGAAGCAGCAGTGGAGTTGTTTATATCTTTCGGCTCCTTTTTCCTCCACCTCACGCAGCCGTCTCTCTTTCTCTCTCTCTGTCAGTCTATGTCTCTCTCTCTCTCTCTCTTTCTTATGTTTCGTTGTTTGCGTTTAAACATCACTGTTCACTGTCTCACGTTTTCAGATACGTGCAAACACAATTATGCACTCAACACACAGGGGCGCCAGTCGAAGGCACCCTGTGGTGACAGATAAAATTAAAACGGGTGCTCAAACATAAAGGTTTGTCCTGAGTAATGCGATTACACACACAAACACTCAGAAACAATGTCTTCTATTTACACACACGCTAACATGCGGCTTTCTGATAAAGTCAGCCCAGATTCACCTTCCCCTCAGGAAGGCCGTCTGCGTGTTTCCGCGTGTGCAAGCAGAGATTCAGACTTTTGAATGACTTTGTTAGATAACAGATGCAAAATGTCCCTGTGCAAATCTCAGATATTTTTTATCTTTTCAAACTGCACTGATATTCCTCTCAGCTTCACAAGGATTGATGGTCAGTAAACAAAAAAAACTGATTTATCATTTCCTATTTTTGATCGGAAGTTCACGGGTAGGTTCATCATGCTGAAGCGTATTGTCCACATCTTTAACATATACCGACTCAACAGTAATGCTAGCGGCATGAATCAGGTCACCGCTGAAGAAAGAAAGGATGTTATAGACACAAATGTTTAAAAATAGAGGAACAAACTTGAACATGTGAAGGTCTTTGACACTTTCATTCTCTCCATTTGTGGTCCTGGCTTGTTTATAATATATGTGTTTATGGTTTACATGATTTGATCTACACTACTCTTCCAAAAATTTGAGGTCGGTATAAAATTAAGGCTTATATTCAGCAAGGACGCATTAAATTGATTAAAAGTGATATAGTAAATATCTTTATAATGTTACAAAAGTTTTCTATTTTGGATAAATGCTGTTCTTTTGAACTTTGTATTCATCAGAGAATCCTAAAAAATGGTTAAGCAGCACAACTGTTTTCAACATTGATAATAAATGTTTCTTAAACATTAAATCAACATATTATACTGATTTCTGAAGGATCATGTGACACTGAAGACTGCAGTAATGATGCTGAAAATTCAGCTTTGCATCACATATTTGAACACCTATTCAAATAGAAAAGTTATTTTAAATTGTTATAATACTTCACAATATTACTGTTTTTGCTGTATTTTTAATGAAGTAAACGCAGCCTTGGTGAGAATTAGATACTTACCTAGAGACTACTGACTCCAAAATTTTCAATGGTAGTGTGTTTTAGAGCATTTTTGTTGAAGAAGTTGGATTTGTATGTAATGTGTATGTTATTTTTGCTGGCTACGCTACTAGACTATACTTTATACACTATAACATGTCACTTATTTATTATGTAAGACTATAATAATCAGAGAACATCTTAAAGATTAATGTCAGTGTGTCTGTTAGTGTGTTTTGGTGCCTGATAGTCAGTTAGGTGTGTGTGTGTGTTTGAATTGTACATATTTGCAGGTTTATTGATGCAGAAAGCGTGTATGTGTGTTCATCCAAGTGTAAAAATGTTTTGAGTGTATATTTATGTATAAAAGTGTGTTTGTTGAGTGATGGGGTGTGCATGAGTGTGTGTTTGTATAGTTATGCGTGAGTGTGTGTTTAATTAGGGTTTATTCTTTGCTGCAGTCTGCCCAGTCTCTCTATTATAATAAAGAAATCATGAAGAGGACTCTCGGTCGGCCTACGTATGCTTTCGAGGCCAGGCAATATGTCGTAAGTGTGTGAGAGGAGGCAAGAGTGTGTGTGGGTTTACTTAGGCATACTTAGATAATACAAATTTATCCAAAATGTTTGTGGACATGTTCATTTTGGAAAAATAAGTAATTTGTGTGTATATATATATATAATTCAATATTTTCAATTAGGGTTTGGGTAAGTTTTTGATAATTAGTATTAGAGATTATTATTATTATTAAAACAGTTGTGTGTGTGCTTGAATGATAGCTGAAATAGAGTAAATACATTTAACAGACTTAACCTCATTTTTTTTTAATTAATGTGATATTGTTCAAAAATTTGAATTTCTTCATTAATTTGTATCTCTTTGAATTCATCCCTTGAATGAGGTTAATGTCTGATATTCGGTATTAAAATCCATTTGTAATTGAGAAAAGTTACATCATCATTAATTGACTCCCTTATTGGCTCTTCTGGCTTTTGCCCCACCTCCCATGTGCAACCCCAGCAGCCTGGCTCCGCCCCCTGTGCTATGGCAGCAAATCAGCTTGTGTGGGAGGGGTTAATTCTCAAAGTGTCACGAGTGCGACTTCTGAATGCGAGCCTTGTGCATCATCTTTGACCTTTCCGCTGCTCGTAACACTTTATCAAACATAAAGATATGTTCAGAATTCACCCCTTTTGGTGTCATTTTGCTGCTTTTGATATATTGGATGTTTATCTCGATGTACATCACGTTCACACAAACAATCCCGTCTGTGTTCGCTATCTATGTCCGTTATAAACACATTGAATTCTACATCCTGTTGGCACATTCATGAGTTCGAGAACATTGATTTGTTCGTCCTGTCAGTGCGTTTACGCATTTGTCAAAATATATTTGTCAAAACCACAAAATAAATTATAAATAGCTCCATAGTTTGAGCACCCTAAAATATGAAGAAGTCCAGACAATAGTGTATGTCTTCACAGAAATAGGGAGGTTGTTGCTCTCACAGCTTCATTAAAATTAGAGTACTAAATAATATTTTTTTCATAATCAGCATGCCTTATTTCAAAGTGCAGTCAATAAATAAATTAAGAATTAATAAATAAATAAACAAACTATCTGTTTTTACATTTTTATATTTTTATTATTTTGTGTTTTTTATTTGCATAATTATTTATATACATGTGTTTTTATCTCAAGTTTTTTTATGAAATTATATTTTTTTACATGATAATCATGCTTTATTCCAAGGTGTACAAAATAAATATACTTCCTATTTTTCATGCATTTTGCACATTTTAATTCATGATAATTAAAACAAATTCTATATGCTATATTTTGTATAATCATACTATATTTTTTAATATATCTTTATATTTCATTTTTATTTTTAATATTTAGTTTTTTAAATTATATATACAATTTTTATTTGATTTGCATAGTTATTTATGTCTCATTTTATGTTATGTTTTTTGTTTAAATATTCTCTTGTTAATCTTTCATGATTAAAATAATCATTTAGTAATCTCAGGTGTTCGGTCAAAACTAGCTGTTTACTTCACATTTTACCACACTTTACTACTTTTTCTTCATTAATTGCATTGTTTTGAGATCCTTACTCAGGTATGATTACCCAGAATCCTCTCTGGTGTGATGACTGCCTCAAAAACAAGCCCGTTTATTGAGAATATTTTCATTTTTGTTTCTCTTTCTCTTCCCTCTGTCTTCTCTCTTGTACACCCATTCCTGACGTGTTCTGTTTATTGGCTGACCATTGCTTTAGGACTGATGATGTCATCCTCATGTGACCCTGTAACATTGTGTGTAATTGGTTCATTGGTACCTGCTGAAGTTCACTGCATCAAAAAAGAAATGCCAGTCAATTCCTAATGGATAAAATCAAGTTGCATCCTATTTTTTCTCCTTGTATGCAAATGCATCAAACTACAGCTGTAAAGCGGGTTTGTTGAACATTGTTGCATCATTAGGGTACAATATTACTAAAAATTGCAATATTACAATATTGAATTTATCAACTTAAGGAACAGTCAACACAAAATGAACATTTTGTCATGTCATTCCAAACCTGTATGCAATTCGCTGAAGAATGTTGGTAAACAAACAGTTTTGGTTCCCATTGACTCCCATAGTGTTTTTGTCCACGCTATCGAAGTCAATAAGAACCGAAACCATTTTGTCACCAACATTCTTTCAAATAATTTCTTTTGTGTTCAGCAGAAGAAAGAAATGCAAACAGGTCTTGAATAACTTGAGGGTGAGTAAATGATGACAGAATTTTCATTTTTTTAGTGGACTGTCCCTTTAAATGTTTATAATATTCTGGAATATTTAAAGGTTCTGGAGTATAAATGCACACAGAAGGCCTGTACCTCCGCTAATGTGACATTTTCCCTATTCAAGTGCCAAAGTGAGACTCAATTCAACTCAATTTCCCATGGCTCTGCCAGCAGAAATCTGTCTCATGACGGAGCACAAAATACTGCCGGCCAGCCAAATGTGAACTATGATGTAGTGGGCTTCATCAATGACATCATAAGGCATGATCACACCTGCATGTGTGTGTATGACGTGTACAGCGGTCTGATGTTGCTCCCTCTGATGTTTTCTCTCTTCTCTCGGTTCATTCCCTCAATTGCTCTCTCTTTTCGTCCGTGAGAAGCTCTCTTTAAAGCTGGTAAGCATGACCTCAGTAGCATGTCGTAGCGGCATGACCGTAGCATGTCCGTCGCTGTAGTAACACATGGTCCTTTAACATCACTTTGTTCCTTTGTGTTCAACCCTTATGGATATTTTTGTTTACAGGGATAGTTCACCCAAAAATTTAAATTTGCGGTTAATTTACTCACCCTCAGGTAATCCAATATGCCTTTTTTTCTTGAGAAGAGCTCAAACCATGGTTGGTCCTTGGTGATTCATAAAATGCAAGTCAGCGGCTGCCCATTTGTGATAATAAAAAAAGCATATCAAAGAACACAAAATTAATACCTGTGGCTGCATACTTTATATTGAGGTCTTATGAAGAGAAACAATCGGTCTGTGCAAGAAACTGAACATTGCCTGACAGTCACTAAAATACCAGCATATATGATCCAATGATACTGGTTTTGCCAACTCATTCAGTGCTCCAGTTCCTCCAGCAGTCACTGAACTGAGGAAACAGTTCAGACTCTGACCAAAGATCGATGAGCTGGTGATATGCACATGAGTGAACCGAGCACTTGAATGAAGGGGTGAAATGCTTGTTCATTGTTTATATAAAACATTTTAAAGGGGTCATATGATGTTATTAAAAAAAATAAAGAAGCTTCTTTCTTTGCATGAACATTTGGGCGGCGTTATGTAAATCTTCCCACATCGTGACGTAGACATGTGGGGGCGTGTTTAAACGAGGCGTTTTAGGAGGGCGTGGACTAGGGCATGGACAGAGGTAAATCTCCATCACGTGCGTGCTTTCACATTGAGCAGCATTAACTACACAGAGCCGTTGTTCAATGACGAGCTGCGCAAAAAATCGCGCGAATATGAACGTGGTTTTGTGCAGCTCGTCAGTGAACAACGGCTCTGTGTAGTTAATGCTGCTCAATGTGAAAGCCTGCAGGTGATGGAGATTTACCGCTGATTACAGAACCGGCTTTCTGACAAGATGTGCGTTAAATATCGCATGCGATTTATCGTGCAGCCCTAGCGTGGACGAGTCTTAAAGGTGCAGTAGGAGATCTTGGAATGCTAACTTTAGCCTGATAGCACTGAAAGCGAACATCCCACCCTCCCTGCAATCGCCGTCCAAAGCCACGCCCCTGAACGCATATACACTCACAGACCAGAATACCAGAGACAACATTACTACAATAGGCTACATCAGTGGTTCCCAATTCCAGTCCTCGCACTGGATGTGAAGACGTGTGTGTGTGTGTGTGTGTGAGTGTGATGTGTGTGAAGACGCTGTGCAGCGCAAATCCGTGAATGAATGTTCTGAAGTAAAGTAAACTTCAATGGATTTCCCCCGTTCAGAGAGTAGGGAGCAATGAACACTGTGTAGGGATCATATCGATCGGAACACAGTTCATGCACGTAGCTCACTTCTAATGAGCTGCTTATCTGAATCGGGTGTGTTAACGAAGCGAGACATGCAAAATATGCAGAGCTGGGGGGGCGCGAGGACAGGAATTGGGAACCGCTGGGATACATCATGTGTCTTTCACCGGTGAGAAAACTTTAAAAGTACTACAATACCAGGAAGGAAGATCGGGTTGCTGATGTTTGTTAGACATGTAAAACATTCTCGTATCACATCATTATTGGGTGCTTTAATAATGTGACTTTGTGTGATTACGTAAACAACTGGTGAATGAGTTATTTGAACCAGTTCATTGAAACAAACTGAAAGAACCAGTTTGTGGAAAATAATCATATTTCCCCCATTTGCCTGAGGCTCTGGATTACAGGTAATAATATTGTAAATAATGTTCAGCTTCTTGCACAGACCGTTCGTTTAGCTTCATAAGACCTCAATATATCATCAGGAGCCACGGGAATTAACTTGGTCTAGCCTGTAAATGCTTTTTTGACTCTTAAAGTGCTGTTAAGCTGCTGATTTGCATTTTATGAATCAACAAGGACCACGGTTTAAGCTGAAAATCATTTTTACTGTTCTAATCACAAAAGAAGTTGCTGAGTAAATTAACAGCACATTTTCATTTTTGGGTGAACTATCCCTTTAACAACACTTTTGGTATTGTTTTGTTATATAATTTGACCTTTGTGTCTATTTAAGTTCAAAACCATGTTGTCTGATTTATCTTTTTGTTGATGTCTGTTTTGTTTCGTCTTGTTGCCGTGGTGACTGTCCCTCTGTGTAGCTCTCACTCAATGCCCACGTGCGGAACCTTATTGAGGTGATCTGAAACAAGTTTTTTGTCCCTGTGTTTGTTTTTCTGTTCATGATTTGGTCTTTATGTATTTCAAACAATTTGATTAATTTGATCCCTAACCAGATGTGTGGCATAATATGCTGAAATGCGATCATTTTGAATGTAGTTTAGAGAATCTGTTGATGTTATAGTGTAAATTAAAGGAATAGTTCACATACAGAATTAATATATAGTCTTTATTTTATGTCATCCTAAACCTCTGGCTTGATTTTTTTTCTGTGGAACACAAAAGGAGATGCTTGGTTTAACTTTTCACTTTCATTATGGAAAAGAGCAGCATGCACATTTTGCTAAATATCTTCTTTCATGTTTCACTGTAGAAATTAAGTCAAATTGGTTTTGAATGACATGAGGGTGAAAAATTATATAAATAAAGTGTTATTAATAATTATCAGTGATTAGAATAGATAAAATATCTTAACCAATCACAGAGTGTCTTGCTATTTTAGCCCCACCCAAAACTTTTTACATGTGATTATTGAAACACTGATGGTGTAGTGTGATTTATAGTTGACTATTACATTGTAGGTAATGTTTGGTTATATTTAAACATCAATCTGTTTATAGATATGCGTATTTGATCCATATAATTTATTTGAGTTCATTTCTGAGATTTTTTTTTTTTTAGATCTATTTTTATTTGTAAATAATCAGAATGTTACATAATTAACATTTTATTTTAACAATTTGTCTTTGTTTGTGAAGAGGGTGAGTACAACAGTGAGTTTAGCATGTATATCGTGCTTGTGTAGACCTTGATTATTAATTTTCAACATTTGCCTGCAATGATTTTGTGGTTTTATTTAACTGTATTTTGAGTGACAGTGCAATGCATGCTCAGAAAAATCTGGTTGTTTATTGTTGCATGACAGTATGGAGATGTGGAAGAAGGGGTAAGGTTGCTGTGCCTGCTTTGTGACCTTTGACCTTTTAGTGAGATGCTTGCTGTGAGCAGGACTGTAGAAAGATACAGCCGTCCACCTATTCAGTCCAAACTCGAATTATAGAAATGCTGTGAATGAATAAGATACAATGATGATTGAGAGATGAACAAATAAACTTTCCTCAAAAGCCTGATAATAATAATCATATTTGATACATTTGAACATGATTTTTCAAAAAAATTATGTATGGATAATTAAGCAAAAATATGTTGCTTCAGTCCAGTAAGTGTTCATCTTGAAATATTATTAACATTATAAAAGTTATTCACACGTTTACTAAGATTTCACAGCAAAAAGACATGTACCATGACCTAATTTATACTGAGGCCTTTTACTTGCTGAAAAAGTATCGATCAGACCACAGAAAGCATGTAGTTGATTGTGTTTGTTTGTTTTTAGCAAAGTTTTAATCATGTTGATTATTTGGAGGCCTTAAATGTGCCTATCACATATGATACAGTAGGCTTCATAGGGTTAAAAATCATTGCAGCAGGTTTAACCTCCCCAAATTCACGGCTCTTCAACGCCACCATGTGGTTGAAATCATTGTGGCAAATACTGCATGCCAGAGAGAACTTAATGTGGAAAAAGCAGTGGCTGGAGTGTTCAGAGGATCGATACATTAATGTAGACAGGAACAGGATATTAGAGCGAGATAGAAAGAGGGCACATAAGGACAGATGCAAACCAAATCTCTCAGCTCAACCAGAATCAGATTTCAAAGATGAGCCAGCAAGATAAGAGGATATTTTATGAGAACTGTTTATTCAGTGTTGTTGTTGGCATTGGACTGAATAGGTTAATTAGCTCATCTGGTTTGTCTTTGATAAACACTTGATTTGAAAGCTGATTGTCTCCTTTCCAAAGGCAGCTAACCAACCAGATGACAGGAACAGAAGATTCTATAATAGTCCATTGATGTGATTGGATGTGTCCTGGTTTGACCCGCCCCCTTTATGCATATTTGTTTATATTTTTGCAGATTCTAACAGGACAGTGCCAGTTTTAAAGGTGCAGATACTGACTGGCTGTCTGTCCTCCTCTCTGTCTCCTCTCAGGGTTCGAATCCTGAGGACTTCAGTCATCTTCCTCCAGAGCAGAGAAGGAAGAAGCTTCAGGCGAAGATCGACGACATCAATAAAGACATACAGAAAGAGATGGACCAGAGGTACACAGACATAGACAAACACACACAAATAGAAACACAAACTCATATATCCTGCCATACACTAGTCAAAAATCCCAGTGGATATATAGACAACAATAAAGACTCTTTGAAAAAGAAATATATAAAGACTTTAATAGTTTGTCAACTTATTTTACAAAGTATTATTTGATGTTTTTATAGCAGACTGTATACTTTTTCAGATTTTCACATTACTCCTACCCATCAATGACTTTCTTACTTGTTGTTTTATTTTATTTTTTATTTACTTACTTATTGTATTTATTTACATGTTTATCTGCTTATTTGATTCATTTTCATACATTTGCAACATTTATTAGTTACATAATTTATTAACAAATTTATTTATTTAATTTTTATTTATTTACATGCTTATTTATTTGCATACATATTTATTTATTTACATAATTACATAATTTATTTATTTATATATTGTTCTTTTTCTTTTATAGTTTTTTTGTTTTTCTTTCTTGTTTTTTACCCTTTTAATTGTATAATGTTTAATATTCACATTTGAAAAAAAATTCATGCATAATTAATGTTTATATAAACAAAATCATAATATATAATCAAAAGTCATAATTTGTAAAGAAATCCAAAGGTATACCTGGGAATTTTCTTTAAGGATTCCAAATCTTTTTTGAGAGCACATGGTTCCCAGCATTTCTATGATTGCAAATGGAAAAGGAAATCAAATTTGAATGAAATCTTTTAGTATTTTAAAACCCTTATAACTTTAGCCATCTTTAACTTTCCAGCAGCACAACATTATTCAATACAGTATGAAATTAGTTTTGAAAAAGATATACAATATTCAGTTGGACTCAAGAATATAATGTAAAAATCAAGAATCCTTTAAGATTTTATTTGATTCTGATTTTCTGATTCCGATTATGAAATTTCTGTAAAAATGCTCTACATAATCCTTTTTGAAAATTTTGACTAGGTCAGGTTTTTATTGGATTTAGTCAGCAAATATATGTATGTGTACTTTTTCTCTGTAGAGATGCTTTGACTAAAATGAAGGAAGTGTATGTAAAGAACCCACAGATGGGGGATCCCAACAGCGTGGACCCTCGGTTAGCAGAGATCGCCCACAACATTGAGAAACTGCAGGCGGAGGCACAGAAATTTGAGGTGTGTGTCATTTAGCATCTCCAAATACAGCACAGGCCTGGATGAGTAGTTCAGTTCAGTGGAAATTAGTGTGTGTGCTTTAGGGCTGGTTAGCGGAGGTCGAAGGAAGGATGCCGGTAAAGAGTGACCCCCCAAAGAGGACGAGTGTTCTATACGAGACCCAAAACAGCACACCACCCACCAACAACAACTGCGCACAGGATAGAGAGAGGTACACACTCACTCACACACACACACACACAAATCTATCAAATAAGAATATTATTATTGTTAATATTAACATATTCATACACACTGAATTTACAGTCACTTTACTGCCACAGTCCTTTGCAAACAGTTGCTATAGTTATTGTGTACGTGTGTGTGTGTGTGTGTGTGTGTGTGTGTGTGTGTGTGTGTGTGCGTGTGTGTGATGGAGCAGTCCGGATGGCAGTTATACAGAGGAACCGAGTTCTGAGGTCCAGAGTAAAGTCCAACCTGAAACAGCAGAGTCTGGAGATGAATTTGATGACGCAGATGAAGAAATGCTACCGACCATCGGCACCTGCAAAGCCCTCTACCAGTTTGAAGGTATTTCATGTATAAATGCATAATTAAACAAACATTTACAGCAAAAATATGGGCTCTGTTTCAAACCCTAGTGAGCTGCCTCACTGTCTGTTGTCAAATGCATATAGAAGTACTTGCTAAGACAGCATCCTAAGTAATAAAACCTCAAAAAAGTGGTTTCTTCATATATGTATATGGTAGTATATATAGTAACACTTTACAATAAGATTCCGTTTGTTAACATCTGTTAACTACGTTAGTTAATTTGAAATAACCATGAAAAATACTTAAGCATTTAATTTGAGTTAATTTGAACTTTTATTTATGTATCTATTAATTAACATTAACTAACATTAACAAAGACTAATAAATGCTGAAATGTTCATTGTTAGTAAAAGCTAGTTAATTAATTAACTCATGCTAAGTAATGGAAGCTTATTGTAGGTTTTACCTTACTGAGGCCAGTAAAAAAAAATCATCAAGGACACATTAAATTGATCAAAAGTGACAGTAAAACATTTATAATATAACATTACTAAAGATTTCTGTTTTAAATAAATGCTGAACTTTCTATTCATCAAATTATTCTGAAAAAAGTATCATCGTTTCCAGCAGCACATCGAAGCAGCACAACTGTTTTCAACATTAATAATAATAATAATAATAATAATATGTTTCTTGAGCACAGCATATTAGAATTAGAATGATTTTTGAAAGATCATGTGAAGACTGGGGTAATGATGCTGAAAATTGAGCTTTGC